CGCGACTTAGGATTACTGAGGACATGGCCCTTGACAGGGAATTATGGAGGTCGAGCATTAAGGTTGTAGGTTAGGGGAAACTTGTGAATATTTCTACAGCACAATAGAGTGAGACTTGCCAGTTAGGAGTTAGACTAAGAATGTCATTGGTCTTCTATTGATGCAGGGCTTTACCTGCTAGTTGTACTATACCAACCATCTATTTCGTATTTTGTATTCTGTATTTCATATCTCTTATATGGCTGGTATTTTATTATGCCNTAAGTGTATTTTTCTCAAAAGTGCTTCTCAAAAAAGTGTTTTTGGAGAGAAGCTACTTTTTTCTACTTCTTCTCAAAAACACTTTTTTCTTTCCAAAAGCTTGGCCAAACAGGCTAGTAACTTCAGCTTACTCAACCATTCCCCCATTTTTTTCCCAAGCTTTTTTATATTCTTCTCTCTCTTCTATATTATATTATTATCTTTCATTTCAATTCATTTTTTAATTTTCATTAAACAAATTCCATCTTTTATTTTTATTAATTTTTAATTTCTATTAAAACAATTTCATAAAATTTTAAATAATATAACTTGTAAGCAATTATTATAGATTAACTAATAATTCAAATAAAAGTAAAATCATTGCAACATCTAATATTTTATATGCACCTTTCAATTTTAGCAACATCTAATATTTTATATTTGCACCATTCATTTTTTGAGATGATTATATATTTTTTGTACAATTATAACTTATAATAAAATTAACTTACAATTTTACATAAAAATAATAAATGCACGAAAATTAATTTATCAAAATTATACACCAAAGTTAAGATGTAAAATTAATATTATAAAAATATTACATAAACATAATTAGGTATATATAAAGAGATAAATTAAAAGATTAAAAATAATAAAATAATAATAAAAAAGTGACGAATAGTAACGGGGGAGATGAATAGTGTACCCCCATATTTGAGGGAACACTATTCATTCCCCCACCCCACCCAAAAAAAAAAAAAGACCAGAATTTGTTCATCGTTACTATTAGCCTATTTGGTCAAGCTTCTAAAATCAGCTTATTTTGAGAAATATGTTTGGTGAGAAGCAGTTTGTATTTGGCTAATTAATTTGAAAAACACTTTTAAGCAGTAATTAGTATTTGGCCAAGCTTTTGAAAACTGTTTCTAAGTGTAATTTTCTCAAAAGTACTTTTCAGAAAAGTACTTTTGGAACCAAACAAGGGATAAAATAGTACTAAAATTTTTATCCCAAGAATATTTTTGCTTATCTATCCTACCAAACGACCCCTTAAACTTTATCAATTGTGATTTTTTTTTTATTTTATGTTTAAAACTAAAAATTGTAGAGTTTAATAAGTACACACTTCCTACTGTGTGTTGTGTGTTGTGTGGGAGGTGAGTGGGTATGAGTAGGGGTATCGATGGATATTCGAAAACCGATTAAACCGATCGAACCGTAGCGCACCGAACCGATTTTTAGGTTTCTTTTTAAGAAACCGTAGATTTTTATATAAATCTATAACCGTACCTATAATTAGGGCAGGTTTTTTATTTTATAAAAATAAATCAAAAAAATACTGAACCGAATAAATTTTACATGTGGAAAATATATTTATTTAGTAAGTTTAAAAATAATAATGCATTAAATTTTCTTTGGGCCTTGGAATTATGAAAACTATTACAAGCCAATAAGTAATTAAATTCAAAATACTAATTCCTAAAACCTATTATGCTACTTCTACTTAAATTAAGTTATTTCAAGTATCTTTATTAGCAAAATACAAAATATTCTAATGATTATGAGTAGCAAACTGCAATGTATTGAATATGTTTCCTTTCATATAATTTAGCTTTATCTTTTTGAATATTTAATCTTCTATAAACTTTGTTCTTGAGTCCCAACTTGGTATATCTTTCAACTCGTGTGATTTATATTTTCTTTGCATTTGTTTGATTTCTTTTATGTTGTTGCAGAATAGTTAATGGATCTATACTCTAGCCATCTTTTTTTTCCTTTTTTTTTTTAATTCATCACCTTTTAAACAGTAAAAGTATCTAGAGAGTTTTGCTAAGTTCTATAAAAGAACGTATGTTATTGCATTCTACTTCTACTGATAATTTTTACATGATACTAAAAAAATACAAAAAATTAACCAAATTGTACCGATACCGAAGAGAAACCGACATAATTGGGACAGTTTCGAAAAGTCTAATTTTAATTATACATAATAGAATAACCGAAAAATTAGCATGAAACCGAACAATTGACATCCTAGCAAGGAGGATAGGCTAATGTGGCGTTTGAAATTCAAAAAATCCGAAGTGGAGCCAAAACAGAACAGAACATTCTCCATATATCGAGGATATAAACAGTCTTCTGTAGCTTGTTTGTACGATCATCTTCTTCTCCGCCCCTCTCCGAGCTTTCTCTCTCTTCTGTTTATCTCTCCTTTAGGGTTTTCTTCATCGTCGCCTTTTTGCTGTTTCCTTAAGAAAAATGGTGGAATCAAAGAAGAAGATGTTAGCGTACGAAGAAAGTCGTTTGAAAAGATTGGAAGAGAACAAGAAGAGAATGGAAGAGCTCAATCTCAACAAGCTCGTTCAAGCTGTTCGTACTGCTACCAGCCCTAAGCCATCGCCCGTACGACTCTCTTTCTCTCTGCCTGTTTTATTTTAAAATGTGTCTCGAATAGAGTAAATTGAATATGGATAATTTATATAACCTAGATTAAAATTGAGGAATAGTTGATTGATTGATTGATTTCCCGGTGATCTGTTAGATGAAGAAGGTGAAGCCGAGGGTTAAGCAGGAGATAGATCGCTCAGCTGTGAGAAGGTCCAATCGCGTTGCGGATAAGCCTCCTCCCAACTACAAAGATGTAAGCTATTTCCTCTCTGTATCTTACCGGGAGTACTATATATGTTCCTTTGGACTTTCATTTGTTTGATTTTCACTTACCAACTCCTCTGCTTGGAGTTTTTGAACTTGAATGTTATGGGATTTTTGTCTCTTTTTCTTCTTCTTCGTTTTTTTATGGTAGAAATCATCTTAGCATACCGAGAAAATTGTGCTGAATTGCCAGCCATAGCCATATCGCAAACGCTCTAAAGATACTAGTATTAAGTTTAGGATTTATGTTATAAACTGACAGTATAATGATTTTTTGCACCATTAGTGCGTTTTAACCTATTATAGCATACTAGTTATCTTTTATTCTAGATGACTAATCAATAAGAAAAAGATTTACCTACCGTCACCTTTCAGATGACCTAATTGTGAAAATATTTAAGACGTTTGTATATCTTTTCAACATCTGATGCATATTGGATGTGTATGAATTTTTGATTGATCCGGTTTTCTTCTACAGTAACATTCCCGCTATATAATATTCAATAATAATTGAACGGGAGCCTTGGAGCAACGGTAAAGTTATCTTCATGTGACCTATAAGTCACGGGTTCGAGCGGTGGAATCAGCCACTGATTCAGGGTAGACTGCCTTGGGGTGCGACCCTTCCCTGGACCTTGTGTGAATGTAGGAGGTTTCGTGCATCGGGCTGCCTTTTTTTATAATATTCAATAATACTGTGCCTCTCGCCATTCAGTATGTTTTATTTTTACTTTCCTTCTAATTGATAGGATTATCATATGATCAAGGTCATTGATGTATGTATTTCTTGATTCTGACAGGTCCCTATTGAACCTTTGGGAAAGCCAAGGAGGTTTGACTCATAAACAAATATTTCCCTTTTTTGCTTGATCACTGAGTGATGCATTTTCAGATAATCTATGCCTTACACTTTCACTTTCTGGTTTATAGCTACAAGAGAAGAGATTTGTTAAACCGGGTGTATGCTGATGATGAAGATAGGCAGTATGCTATAGAAAGAGCAGAGCAGTTACAATCGGAGATAGATGCTGATTTCCCTAGTTTTGTGAAACCTATGCTCCAATCACATGTTACTGGTGGCTTTTGGCTGGTAAGTGAAAGAAAGATGATAAACTTGTGTATTGGTATTCCTTGAAAAGTTATAAAGTTCCTCACTTAGAGTTGTTTCCTAAAACTTAAAGCAACAGTTTTGGTCGTAGTTTATTGATTTTTAGTGTGGTTCTTTTTAGGGTCTGCCTGTTCATTTTTGCAACACACATCTCCCTAAACGTGATGAATTTGTCACCCTGATCGACGAAAATGAAGATGAGTTTGTGACAAAATACCTCGCATTAAAGAGGGGGCTGAGTGGTGGATGGAGGGGTTTCGCCATTGATCATGAATTAGTTGATGGTGATGCACTGGTTTTTCAGTTGATTGAGCCAACAAAATTTAAGGTAAATTAAACTGAACTGAGAATACTATATCATTCCATCCTCATTCTCTATTTAGATGAATTTATGAATACATTGAAATATATTTCTGTGAGTTGGACGCTCCCCCAGATTTTTACTCCTACATGGTTTATCTACTTGGAATTTCAGGTTTACATCATAAGGGTTAATCAAGCAGAAGATTAGGAGACAGAAGACACGCAAAATATTTACTGAGATTGGTGGAACGTGAAATGAAATCAAGTAAGCAGCTCCATTTCCACAGCCTTTTGCTGCAAGAACTGTGTATTTTACTGCTTTGACAGTAGTTGAACATGGTTTACATGCACATATCAAGCAATCTTTTAGGCTCCACAATTTTAATTGGCCATCATATGAATGTCCAAAGACGTAAAAAGATTAATACAAGATGTCAAAGACCTAACTGGTGAAAGGCAACACAACAAGCCAGCTTTAGCAAATTGGTGTTAATTGATCTAAGACTGCGTGATAAACCATATAAGAAAAGTACCATTTGTTAAAGCAGAGCCGAACAAGCTCAAGTCATTCAGGATAACTCCTGTTTTTCTGCTTTAGGAGTTAAGATAAGTCCTGCAACTCATTTTAAAGCGCTGAAGAGAGAGACAATATAGAGATGATTTTTGAGGACACATTTGATTTCTGGCTGCGAGTCATTAGATTTAGGCTAAGAATTAAAATCAAAGAAGATAAAGGCGACTGTTGTTCACACCTAAAATAGCTAAAATCTAGTTCAAGATGAAAAAAAGAGAGATATGAAACGAAAACGACTAAGCTAATTCCTTGATTGTTACAATATTTGGTACTAATGTTCTCTTTTCGTGTGATTGGCAGGGAACAAAATGCATTCCACCTGATCGTAGCTTTTGGGACCATCCTTCTGTCTTTGTAGATGCCTATTTAAGAACCTGGAAGTCTGGAACTAGCATCATTGTAATTATTTAATATAGTTCTAATTACGGCAAAGACCTTCAGTGCCAAAACTCAACCTTGTGATTGGTATGGTGCAGCAGTTTTTTCATCCTAGTTTACGGGATATTAGTCATGTTTGTCTAGCATTGCAACAACAAACCCAGTGTAGTCTCACACGTGTAGTCTGGTGTTTATCTAGCACTGGTCTTTCATTAGTTTACGGGGTGTCTTTGGTTCTGTCAGAAATTCCCATGACAGAGTAGCATGTTAACTGATGAAATGACAGTTAAACATAAAAGGAGGATTGAAAATTTAAAGCTGGCAAGTTGTTAAATTTTCATCCATTTTCAAATTTAACAGGCAGAAATAATATGTTGTAACCTTAAAAGTAGCAAAAACAATATGCTGTAACCTTAAAGTAACAAACAAGTTCGGTTGCTGCTTTTACACAACGAATATCACAAATCCTGTTTGTCATTGTACAGAACACCTTACACAACAGAGCTACCTTATAATTTCATATGTGCTATAGCATCTTGAATTCTCTTTGGACTCCGATACAGTTGTCTCCTTATGTACCTAAAGTTTTGCAAGTTGTTGAGCATATGTTGGGGCAATGCAAACAACAACCTACATGTTTATCCACATCAGAAAAACTGATCATAAGAACTACTGAAATGCTAAAAACAAATTGAAAACAAGACACAAAATAACTAAACACCCTTCTCTCATACCTTGCCAGCACTTTTACCAGAGTGAAGGTACTCAACAGCATCAGCAACTGAATGTAGGCCAACAAACTGTTTGGGATCTATGGCAATCTTCAAAACACAAATACACAGCAAATTGTTACTCTTATTGACCAAATCACTCTTAGAAGTGCATTATATAAAACCATAGAGAATAAATTCAGTTTTTAAACAAATCCACCCCAACTTTTCAAGCAATGGCAGTATATAGGTTAGAAATTTGTTCCGGCAGATATACCAACCTTAAGCTTTCCAGAAGAGAAAAGATTAACCAATCTATCCAAATGCTCTTGCCATAGGTGAGCATATTGTACCAGGAAAAATCCAGCCTGAGAACAAACTCAAACCACCAAATTAGCCAAAATAATACAAATACCACGCACTTGAAAAACCTATCATCTAGACAGAGCTAAGCATGGCTTTGTCAAATAGTAATAGGCAAATTAAACAAGATGATTGCAAGCAAGAAACCACAAAACAAGAGTTTCCGACAACATATATTCAAATCTCTTAGGACATTAAGGAAATTTTTTACTGACAGTTTTGGTGAAATTAATCAAGTAGGTAGTCAAAGAGTCACTGATCAGGACACCTCTATTCTCATTGAACAATATAGAAAGTTCTCTATGGAGATACATCACAACACCAAATACGTTAGGACATGAAAGCTACTTCCACCATCATCATAAAATGCAAATGAAATAACATAAGTTTTTCGCTCGTCATTGAGCTTTGAACTCCTCAGGGCCTTCTTTTTTTTTTTTTGGGGGGGGGGG